CCCCCCCCCCCCCCCCCCCCCCCCCCCCCCCCCCCCCCCCCCCCCCCCCCCCCCCCCCCCCCCCCCCCCCCCCCCCCCCCCCCCCCCCCCCCCCCCCCCCCCCCCCCCCCCCCGGGGGGTTTAATATTTTTCGTTCTATCACCCAGCTGAGGAAAAAAAGAAAGTAAAAGTAGAAAGTAGGTACTTTCTACTTTTACCATCTTTGCTCGAGGGCTATTGTATGTCAAAAGAATTCTTCAGTGCACAGAATATACACGAAAGAAAAAGAAAAGAATGCAAAAAGACGACCTGTGTCCTTTATGTATCGTCCTTTTCTGTTCTGGCGCAGCTGATGAAAGAAACATTTTAAATGTAAAATGTATCGTTTTTGACCAAAGTTTTAACATTTACATTTGTTGCTACAGGCCTAATGTTTCAAGTCATTTATCATTTCACTTATTCATCAAAATCAAAAATACGTCCTACATCGGGGAGAATTGTACAACAACATCACGACGTGATTATAGAGAGATGATGAATCATTACCTTCATCGTACGCCACAGGTCGATAACTATGATCAAACAGTGCAGTAATTCAAAAACGAAATGAGTGTAGTATTTTCATGAAAAGAAAATTCCACTTCATAGAAATAAAGAAAAAATGTGATCTCTGTACACTTTGTCGCAGGTTACATCATCAGCAGGTAAAAAATCAGAACTAAAATATTTACAAAATATAAGAATATGTACAGCCACTTTCTTTGCTCACAGAAAGTGCAGAGACGACTATTCCCTTGAAGAAAAACAGAATGCAGGACGAAGAGAGAATAAAAATAAGCTTTCTAATCACTCTAATCTTAACACAACATTAATCATTTTCTTTCTTTAACAACATTAAACTCCTATGATTCATAAAGAATTGTGACAGTGAATTTGTATTTCTCCAAATACGTTAGAACATTATCACCAAATTGTTTTGGTAATGTTTTACGTATATATTCTCAACTGTGTTGAGAGAAAAGCTAGAGAAAGGTAGCCTCAAATGTTGCGAGTGTAGTAAGAGCCGCTTTAAGTTTCAACCCTTGGACTTCTCTGTAACTGAAAAGGCAGTTGTAAAACATATCGATTTAGTTAAATCAAAGATCTCTTTACGAGTATTTAATGTTCCTAGTTTTTGTTCTAGACTTTAAACAGAAAAACAGATGGGTATATTTAACATCACATTCAATGGTGTCGCTGGTAAAACTATTTCAGCTCAACTCCAGCATGACTTTAAATTAGCTGATTTTATCGCTAAAATAAAGGAAGTAATAGGCGATGATGCTTATCGTTTCGTCGTTAATGGTAAACAGTTGAATCATGAAGACGAAAGTATATTTAACGCACAAAAATCAATAATCTCAAATAATGTAACTATCTACTATATAAAACGAATGGTCGGCGGTAGTCAAAAGGATATTTCAGGAATTATTGACCTAATTAAACTTGACTACAAGCTAAACTTAATGTTTATGGAAACAACAGAAAAAGAATGTGCTTTTTGTTTAGGCACGGAATCCTGTTTGACGTTCTGTTGTAATCCTATTTGTGTTGAGTGCTTTTCTAGACATTTTGAAAGATGTTTAGAACAAGTTCGATCGCTCGAAATGACAAAATTAATTATACCTTGTCTTAATTGTAAAAAGATCATATTACCAGAAAAGTTTTTTCCTTCCGGTGAATTTATAAATCTTCTGTTATCATTGGAAACTGGAAAAGCATTGGTGAACAATATCGACTGTCAAATATGCACATGTGGCACATTTCTCAAAAATGAAGCACTATATTCTCAACAAACATGTGATACTTGTAACAGAGTGTTCTGCTTCTTCTGCAATAGAGATTGGGATGAAACGGCAATGAAAAACGATCAATTTACGTGTCATCAGAACTGTGAATATGAAAATAAATTGACATTTGAAATGGTACCAATGCAAAAGTATAATGCAAATTTATTAGTGCCAACCCGTCGCGTTTGTCCGAATTGTTGTTTTACTGGAGCATTTGATGAAAAATGCAAATATCACGAATGTACAAACTGTAAATTTACATTCTGTTTTATTTGTTTAGAATCAGAATCAAATTGTAAAAGACTCTACAAATCTGACTATAGAGTACCTTGTGCTGCTGTAAAAATACAGGATTATTCAATATTTCCCAGAATAGATAGAGAATAAATCTGAAGACAAACGAAAACAACTGTTTTTCTACTGTATTACTTTAAGGTGTTTTAGAATTTGGTAATAAAAGTTATATGCTCATCGAGAAACAGAAGTGAAAAAGTGCATTATGTTCAGATTTCCTCCGTCTTTGAATAAAGCTCAAAACGTTGTGGAATTTTAATTTACTTAACTATCAACATTAAAGAGTAAATGACGCTTACCTTTTGGCTCGGTGTTTTATATTTCTCTCGAACTAGCAGAAAATTATAGCTGTAGCAGACTACTCGGCGTCATCCTTTCATAAGCAAACTGGTTTCTAAAATTGGTCTGTCGAAGATATCCTAGAAAGCCGTTTTGGAAATCACTGAGATATTCAAAAAACACATGGCTCCATTCTATTTTGAAATGAGTTATAGTAATTCTGTACTTTTAAAAGTTGGTACTCTTTGGTTTTGAAAGTACTGCAATTATTTTAGGCGTCAAAAGCTTTGATGAGGTATGACGAGCAAATAAAATATTCACACAACTTAGCAAACAAGAGTTGATTATGGATTTCCTTCTTCAATTGATGCCTATTGTAGAGAACATCTACAGGTTCATCGGCTCAAAAGTGCTTTTTCTCTTTTTTGGGGCACAGTAACAAAAAATATATTAGAAAAAATACAAAAAGTTACAAGTGGTTATTATTTACACATGATCTCCTTTTGGGGAGAAACCGTTGAAACAGAAAAAAAGAAAAGAAAAATGTAGAAGACATATTTTTCTCTCTGTTTCTGCCTTAATGGAGAAAAGGAGAATCAGGTTGAAAATTAAAAATAATTTGACTCTTGCCAAGGGTTTTCAAGAATTCATTTTCGTTTGTCAAAAAAATGTTTGTGTCTCAAAACAATATGATAAAGAGAAACTAGTTAAAAAGACTATATAGAATTAAATCAATGTAAAAAGCGAAACATTCATATTATGCTTCTCGATGTAAAAGAAAAGAAATACACAAAAACGTGTATTCGTTTCTATACTTTCACTTCAAATATATTTGACTCAGACATGGGACTACACGTTATCATTGTCAGTTGTTTTGTAGATATATAATGTGTGTAATTTCTATATTTTATTCACATGTCCAAGTCAGATATCCGTATATTTGAAGTGCGTTTTTGTGTATTTCTTTTCTTTTACATCGAGAAAGATAATATGAATGTTTCGCTTTTTACATTGATTTAATTCTATATAGTCTTTTTAACTAGTTTCTCTTTATCATATTGTTTTGAGACACAAACATTTTTTTTCACAAACGAAAATGAATTCTTGAAAACCCTTGGC